GTCTCTTCCTGTTTTCGAGCCCTCCCAAGTGTGCTGCCATCGGACCAAGGGCTTTTTCAGATCCGAGCCAGAACCTATGCAGTCCCCCAGCAAAAGTCGAAATCGACATCCAATGCAGGGAGCCCTGCCGCAAAAAGTCACGATTGCATTCCAGTACTGGCTCAACCCTCAGCTTTCCATAGACTGGGTTCTTCCACTTGAGCTTAATGGCTTAATGGCAACGCATGCACAGGCAGGCTCAGGTTTCAGCAGTTTCATGGTGTGATTTCGGTAGCACCTGATTGGCAAGCGGCAAGCAGGCAATGTGAGGAACAATCAAGCTCAGAAAATCATCCAAGGCAGCAGGGTCCGACGAAGAAGATGCTGGCTTCTGGAAGGTCGGAGCGCAACGACATTCTGTAATTGGGTTGGGTAGAGAATGTAAAGCGGAGGTCCACGAAAATCGAGAGGCTGTTGAGTTTTGATTTTGACGTCGGTCCTGGGATTGCTAGCGCTCGCTGCAGCCTGGCTTGCTGTTGGCGTGCCAGACGCAAGGCAGCAGCAAAGGCTTGAGTGTCCCTCTTAGTCAGGTTGCTGCTGTGCTGTAGGATTCTGGAGTTGCCAGGGCCTGGTACTCCGACTTCGTCACACCTGACGTGGCCGTGCAATCTGGGCGAGCCCTGTTCGAGTACAAGCCCAGATGCTCAGCTTTGGTGGGTGGATTATGGACAGATACAAATGACATGGAGTGCTTAGGGTTGTTGATGATGCTTCTGTTCGCCTTCCTGACCACACCTGGCCATGGCTGTCACGACAATGGGCATGTTAGTCTCGCTCAGGCTTTCGGTGCTGTACTATCCGATGACGCACTTTGAAGTCATGGTCTATTTTGCCTTCCCGCTTGAGCCACAAGCTCGGCATCTCAAATTCTCCCGTGTCTGAAGTACTGGCTCCTCCAGGGCTTTTGTTCAGGCTTGCTGGACAAAACATACACTCTTGATTCCCAAAGCCTGCATATACTTATAATATGTATATGTACAGGAGATCACGTAAGGATGGGTCATGGAAGCTCGAGGCCCTGCAAAGTGCTCTTCACGAGGTAAAGCAACAGAACTTCAGAACAGCCCGAAAGCGACACCCTAAATCAAAAATCGTTTCTGACGGCAAAAACGCTGTAAAGCGGCTTTGCGACTTCACAGGTGCCATCCGCTTTTTTCATAAGGCTATCTGACAATCTAGTCTTGTCAAACGCGTTTGGGTTTAGGTCACCACCTGCGGATCACCACTATGACGCCCCTCATCTCGATCGTGGAAAGCACAACCCATATAGTTGGACATGATGATACGCTTGCTACTAAACCACAGGCCTTCAGAAGGATGGAGCCTAGCGACCTAAAGATCCTGATCTTCTGTTGCCCTCTCCAATCTCTCCATGGAATTCGCAGTAGGTGCTGGACCAGCTCAGGTTTTACGTCGGCTTCTACCTGTCCATGGGTGTGTTAAGTCACGCCCTAAGTCAGTTCTGAAAAAGCAGTGTAGCCCTGGAGCTGGAAGGCCTTTGCTTGCTTCCTAGTGCTGCTTTCCAGGTGTTGCGATGGTCCTGGTGCTGTGGGGCCTTTGGCTGAGCGGTGTTTCTGCTACAGCCACTGCGTAAGGTATCGTGTTGAAAGGGATACGGTACCCAGTACGGAATCAGAAGTGATTGCCTGTGGTAACGGCCAAACAAGTATTCTGATTAGCCATACCGATCAGCTTGACCAAAGCTTGATAGGTTCCCTAACCTCAGCAGAGCTGCATCATTGCCTTGTGACACGGACTGCACTCCAAATCATGAGAATTTGGAAAACTCGCAAAGCCCTTGTTTTAGACTGTGGCAAGCGCCCAGGCTATCATCGCTTCATGTGCCGACTTTCGTATCCACCAAGGCCTACAAATATCTAGAATCTTCAGTACCTTGGGAGGTAGCATGCCAGAGACGCAATCTGAAGATGACTTGTTTGGTTCAGCATTGCTAGTCAGCTAGGACCAGGAGAGATGGTGCATTTTATCCATTATTGTAGGTAATCCGGCTAAATTTCCTCGGCCAACACATTGGCGTGTTGCCGGATAGGGTGGCCAGGCTGATAGATTGGCGGCACTGGACGCTCTTCAACGTGCAGGGCTCTCAGATTGAATCTGAAAACCTGCTAGGCTCTGCTGAGTGAGGCTTGTGTAGCGCCAGCCCCCATCTTAGGAAGTAGCAATGAACAGATTCCCCGTGGTGTTGATTTAAGGTCCCCCCAATTGGACACCAAATATATACACTCACCAACATTCTTAAGGAACCCTATATACACACACCAAAGACCTGCAAGTCACAAGCACGACACTTGTAATGCTGGAGATTATGCTGGCAACTCCGATGCTAGTACTCGTCATGCCCAACCATGCGGTGACTGGCAGATGCAGTGCTGCTGTACTCTGTGGACTTGAGGCCCCAGCTGCGTGCGTTCATCATGGTGTTTGCCATCTTCTTCACCCCTGTCTTCATAGGACTTTGCGAGCTGCATGCAAGTTTGCCAGTTGACATTTGGCCTCCAACAACACACACCAAACTGTGCCGTCAGGAGTTGGCCTGCTGCAGGGTGAGATTGCTGGCAACAGCTCCTTGATGCAATTTAATGCGAGCAGCCATCACGTGCTGGTCTTGTCGGGGGTTTCTCTTGCGTCTCAGGCCGAGTGAAGCATAGGCCGTAAGCAAACCCTCCCTCAACGCCGCTTGGGACGAACTCACAGTTTGCATCTGAAGCAGCTGGCAATGCATCCAAACCGCACTCGTGTGCCAGGGTTGCCGACAGCAATTTGCCCCCAGGGGAGGCTGAAGGACTGCTTACGTCACAAGCTCCCGCTGACAAACGTGCTCACAAATCCCAACTGTGCAGGACAATTGCTTCTTGGGCATCCTGGAAATGATCCCAAGCCGACACCTCAGTTGCGTGCACACCTGATGTCATTGTCCCTGGCTTGGTGGTCATAGGATAGGTGATTGATGGGTTTGCGGTTTTAGACGGGGGTTAGCCGTGTGGTCTTCGAGGTAGGCGAAGTAGGGAGGGGACGCAGAGGGCGATGGAGCTTGGCATGGCAGCCAGGCATGCTTCAGCACTGACGTAATCTTAAACTCCAGGTGCAAAAATCGGTTGGCGCAAAGCATGCCGTGCCACTGATGTCCCCTTCGCATCTTCCCAAACCCTGCTCGACCAAACCTTTGTGAATATAATTCTTGCAAAAGCCGGAATCTGAGCAAGGAAGCGCAACAAGGAGCCGGAGTTTAGCATTCCCAACCTGTAAGAGCCGCCGTCGCTGTTAAGGTTCCTATGAACCCGAGACGCAAGTCAGCAAGACCAGCTATGGCGAGCGCAGAACTGGGCGAGTAGGCCGGGCTGACGGATCTAGGTGCTCGAGTCTGCAAAGGCTAGGGCTTTGCTATCTGTCATCCAATCCGTGCTATTTACAACTCATTAACAATGTTGAGAACTCTTCTGGATCCAGAAGTGCTGAAGCCCTCCACCGGCAGATGCACATGAAGTGGCCCCACTTTGCTGAAGTTGAAGTTGGGGATTTCACCTGCAGTGTGCCAAGCACAAAGATACAACCAACCCCACAGACCAGGGAACGATAGCACGGACGCTCTGAGACCATGTTGGAGCACGTACCCTACTCTCAGTCCTGTGCCCTGGTATGGATTGGTGTTGCAGGCTGTTTCATGATCTGCTTGGCTGGCTATGCGATCTCAACCTCGTTGAAGCTGCTGGTCGGAGCCTCACGCGCACAGTTTGGTGGCAAAGCTTGTCGCGTTGACACGGGGCATCTAAATTTGCAACTGCAGGATTTCAGCGGGTACATGTGACAAGGACTTCACAGGCTCTAGCAAGGGGAGAGGGCTGACATCCTCAGGTGCCTGCAACCATCAGCAACTACTACAAGCGAGAGGAGACGTTTTGGTCCACTAAGGGAAATCATTCAGTGTTGTGGCAATTCGGGCTACCAAAAGGGGGAAAAATCAGAGTGGCAGGACAAATCCGGAGCAAACAAGCTCAGGGAGCTCATCAGCGAGGACCTTGCTAGACCGTCGCATTGCGACGGCACGCCAGACGGGCTGTCTTTTTCGTTACATTGAATGTTGCCTGCAGGAACAGGCAGAAGAGGCTGCGAAGGGTGAGCGAAACGAGACCGAGGATGAGGCCCCTTGACCAACTGGACAACAATTGCTTCCAACTGTGTCCTCTCGCTTGCGTGCCTTTGTGCGTCAGACCTGTGGCCAGGCTCAACAAAATCCACAGGTCGAGGCTGGAGCCTGCATCTCGTGCGATGTATGGATACATCCCACTGTGCTTGAGGAGGATAGCGAGATGCCGCCAATCTTCACCACAAGCCTGTGGAAAAGGCGCAGCTTTAGCTGACAAGAACAAGGAATATGAATGCATGCCGAAACTCACAAAAAAGAGTTCGGAGCAAAAACAGATTTGGCAGCACTTCCCAAAGTCTCTGTGCAGCAGCCAGCCAGAAATTGGATATCAAAGCGAGACTTACCGTCGCTAGGTCTGCCCTGGCACTGCTCGTCTACAGCAATGTGGTGAGCACCGGCTCAATTCTGCGGATTCTAGGGGTCCCTGACCAGCCCGCATCTTCGTGATTCATAAGAATCCCGCCATGGTAAGTCCTCAACAGGGTCCTCAACGGCTATACCAGCTATGGGTGGTGCCTGAAACAAGGTCTTGCCCACCTAGAGTTTCGTGGAGTCAGGCTTCCTGAATTAAACGCAGATAACGCAGCCTCCGTGAGCCGTGGAGATCCCATCACCGAGCAGACTCACCAGTACGCTAGAACAGGTAAGTGACTTTGCACCTACGGGTTCTAAAGCAACGGGGAGCTGTCAATGTCCTTCAGCCCTCGAAGCTTGATACCATGGGACGGTGGCCAACAAAGATCCGCACACATGACAGGCCATTCAGATTTGCTTGCTCCGCGGTGCCTTCTCTGACATGTACCGTGACAACATCATGTTCTTCCTGCTGGGGCTGTTCGCCATGGGCTTAGCGTCAGTGCTGAGATCATCCATGCATGCAGCATGAATACAAAACCCAGACTTCTTGCACACCGTATCTTGGCCCAGGCCATCCGCATCAGCATCAAAATTGTTTGCACAAACTTTATGTGCGAGCTAATGCAGCGACCCCGGAACGTTGTGCTTTGCGGGCGCATGGGAGCTCTTTGTCCAAGCTAGGGCCACCGCACCTGCAACCTTCCTTGCTTCCTTGCAGGCTGACAGTCCCAATCGCCATCACCAACCAGGTGGGCACCTGCTCGCTGCTTCAAAAGCGCCCCAATGTGCCTCGAGTTTCCGTTGGTTGGCTTCCCTTCTGTTTTCCCAAGCCTGGTGATGTGCCAGACCATGGCCATTTTCACATTGCTTGCAGCGCCTACGCTCTTCGACTTCCTGGTTGCTTGTTCGCAAATAATCCGCGACAGCAAGAGCAAAGCGTACCTGAAGCTGACCGAGGTTATGTATGTGGCGTTGATTGGACTTCAGATGATCGAGCGGATCTACATCGGCCCTAATGAGGACGCCTGCAGATGAAGCCATCCCTGCTTGTGCAGGGCAACTCCCTATGGAGCTCTTGGCAAAAGAGAGACTGTCCAGGCATAGCCCTTTTCACTACTGCGGCAAGTCTCTTTCTCTCCCTCAAAAGACAGCATTAGGACATGCTTCCGCGTGTCGGATTTCCGCAGGATGTGGTCATGGGCAAGCTCGGGGCGTGGAAGCGCACCTTCGTCAGCCTGCCATGCTTTAAAGCATCCGCAGCATCCTGATTTGACAACAGAGCATGCAATCCCAGGCGCGCTTACTCCTGTCAAACTCTCATATGTTCACAATTGTTCACAGTTGAGGGCATCTGCTTGGAATGCAATACTTTTTATACGAGTTCTGCAACTGTCGGGCCAGGACGGCTACATGAACTCGCTGAACGCTGCAAAACCAAAGAAAGCTGATGATGATGAGGCTGAATCTACTTCCAGCGGATGTCACGTGTGGTTGTAAAATCCACAGCAGAGGAGCTGAGCGTGCCTACAGCCACCAGGCTAATCCTTGTGCTCAGGAGTCAGAAGACGAGAAGAAGTTTGAGGATCAAGATGAGATGGAACTTGAAGGTGAGACAGAGGCCCCTCGCTGCAGACACTTTGATGTGGCAGCACAAGCTGGACCCTTTGGCTTCTCTGCACGGCAACTAACTTAACTCACATGAGTCACAAAGCAACATGCTGCACAGGAAATGATCTCTTTCTTGGCAACGGTCTCTGCAGACTCCCTTGCCAACTTTATCGTTCCCACCTTCTATGCAGCTTTGCCCTCAGACCTTGCTGCCTTATGAACCGTGCAATATCGTGCAACTCTTCCGCAGTTCAAGCCTTGTTGAGCGTAACCGCCATCGTGTTGACAGACCCTTCATGGACTCAGTTCTGCATGTTGCTCTTCGACGAATGCCGCATCCTGACCAACTTCAGGACTCTTCATCAGAAAACATCGCCTACATGAGGGATCACTTGGCAATCCTTTGGGCTGGGATCTGTTGATGTGACTTGTGTCATGGGCCCCTGAACAAAAAAGACGCGGAAATGTGAGCACCAAGCACAGAAGAGCAGCCGGTGTGAGGGCAGAAAGGTTTGGCCTCAAGGGCCTGAACAAAGACAGGCACAACTGTGTTCATGATGTCTGCGTGGACCCTGTGAACGACAGGATTCCAGAGCACAATGCCGAGTTCTACCTGCACTTGCCTCAGATAGTATGCTGGACATTGTTGCGTCCTTCAGTTCTTCTAGTCCGCAGACAGCCAGCACCAGCCTCGTGTAGCAGGCACATTGGATTGAGAGGCTAATCCTTGCAAACTGCAGCCAGGTATTTCTACATCCTCATGCTCCCTTTCCAGATAATAGCAGACCGTATTTGCTTCAACATCGTCGAGTGCTACCACGGCAAGGCACTGAGACACAGCTGCTACACACGCACACATGCGGCTGATGTGGTCTAGGTCATAGGTGCAATACTTTTGACAGCACCGGATGTGCCGCGTGTGCATGTCGCGTACCCGCCTCTAGTGGCCATGCTCTGCTGTGCGACTAGCATTTTGCTAAACATCCGCTTTTTGGCATGAGTGTGTTTGAGTGAGCACGAGCGACAGCATTTAAATGGCAAGCGCCATAAGATGATTCCAGATGAGAGTGCCCTTGCAATCAGAGCCATGCCATACTCCAAGCATCCTCAACTGAGCCGCATTTGCAGATGTAGATAGACGGCTCTCAAACAGACAATGTATTTCCAGCGCCTCAAAAGCAGCCTATTCAGCCCGACCCTTCCCACAGAGCGAGAAAGCCGTTCAACTCCAAGGCTGGAAGGTCACGGACTATTTGGAGTATTGCCTGACACTTGGATATCTGCATTAGCGCGATATAGTCTTGCATTACATGGAGTTCCATAGCAGATCCGGATGGGTCTTCTTTGCGCTTCTTGCATGCATGTAGCCATCACAGTAGTACGAGCGCTGAGAGCTGGAGGTAGAGTTTGCCAGGCTTGCGTGAAACTTGTTGGTGCTTGCTATCTACGGATTGCCATTGTCAAGATCCAATCTCGGAAAGTCAGAAGTATGCTTGAGGTGCCTATCGCTTCCTTGTCCGAACCACCGACTGGAAGGACCACGAGCCTGTAAGCTGATTGTTGGCGCTGCGATGAGATGACCGCGTTGGCTGTCTCCCTGCCGGCGAGTTAACCGTCTAGCTTTCGGAAGACTTTGCGCCGTATGACTGGATGTTGACATCAGCGCTTGCTGTTTCCGTGGAATCACCTAAGCCGTGGTCATCTGCAGTTGTCTATTTCATATTGGTTTTCTCTGCATGTGCGTCTGTAAGGCAGGATCAGGCTGGGCATGAGTGTAGTCCTGAGCAGACCCCATGCATGTTCAAGGGCCACAGTTGCAAGATTGCGCGGTAAGGACTCAGCTGAACTTTAAAAGCCCTACAGCGCACAATCCAGGGCAAGGACAACGTGCTCGACCAGACTCTGTCACCCCACGTGCAACTTGTCTTGGTAAGAGGAACTGATATTGTGGTCAAGGGTGTATTATGGTCATTATTGCTACGATTATGGTACTGTTGTCATGTTTGTCTCATGCGACTATTAGTAACTTAGTACTGGGCAAACCAGCCAGAGCTTATGCAGAGTTTGGTTGCCAAGCTCCCGGGGCTCACCACACATTCTTCCCCTCTTGCCACTAGAGAGGAGAGTGGATTCCCCACCCGATGTGACACTCAAGATGTTGCTTGCGCGAGGGCATTTGCCAGCTTCAAGAGATTTGGTCAAGAAATGCTATGATCAGCATTGCCGTATGATGAGTATGGACTGCCTTTGTTTGTTGCGTCTCCGGTCTGCTTCTACCTCTCCCAGATATCGAGAAACAATCGCAAAGCATCTGCAAAGCATCCTCAGCTCCATTATCCCATTATATCCCCAATGTACTATATAGTAGTTTCCAGTTTATTTCCATTATCCACTATACCCCCAATGGACTATATATAGTAGTTTTCATTTTATTTTCCATTATCCCCATACCCCCCAATGTACTATGTAGCAGTTTCCATGTTGTTTTCCATCATCCCTATATAACCCCAATATATTCCCTATAATCCCTATACAGCCCCTATAGAACCCCTATATAATCCTTATAGTTTCCAATTTATTTTCCACTATCCCCATAAAACCCCAACATGATCTGAGGCGATCTATCGACCAGCTTTGCTTCTCGGACCAGCCCGTTTCTCAGACTCGACAGGTACTCCGCGTTGTAATTCCCTGTGGGCCGCTAAGCTGCGCCCACTTGTAGCAACCTGGGTAGTTGGAATATACTGGGGTTATATGGGGATACTGGAAAATAAAATGGAAACTGCTATATAATACATCGGGAATACAGTAGGATAATGTAACTGAATATTTTGAGAAGTTGGAAGCAAGAACTGAAGGACGAACTGACGAGGTTCTATTTCGTGAACCTGATGCAGACAGTGGGTGCAATGGCTCTGGTTTTCGGCATGCAGATCATCTTTGAAGCAGGGCTGCCATCTCAGACTGGTATTCCATCACATAATCATATGAGCCATTGATTAAACTCCTAGTATCTCCCTTAATAACCCCTATAGTAGTGCCCTATATAATCCCGTATATAACCGCCTCTAAAGAGTTGAGACTATAGCTCTTATTACATCCAATGTTCTGGTAGACTTGGGCAACTGGTTTCTGGGCTCCGGAGCTCTGCCTCTGTTCTCAGCTTGAAGTTGCAAGGCAACCTCTTGGCTCCTAAGATGTGCACAGGCTTGGATCACCTCAGTCCCAAATAGCTAGCATGGACGGAGTCTTTCCTTCATCACAGATGATTGTTCATCAAAAATATATCATAATTTCTTGTACCAGCTTCAGAATCAGGGCCATAATATGGCTGGGGCTATAAGTTAGATGTAGACTTGTAGACCCTGCAGCATCAGCTTTTCCTGCCGTGAATTTCATAGCTACGCAGCCGCATTTCCTGCACCTCGCCCCGAAGGAAGCGAAAACCTTTCTTCATATGAAGTTGTGTTGGATCTTGACTAGTGTAAGGGCAACCCTACACACAAAAAATGTAATTGAATCAAGCTGGAGCCTTACGTCTCTGCTGGAGGGATCTTGGATTTGGCTCCTCAGGTCCCCGAACTCGGCTCTTGCATAGATTTCCATTTTCAACCTACGGCAATGCTTTCCCCAAAAGACATCTCCAACCAGCACGTTTTGCATCATCGAAACACCCCAAATATCCCCAAATCATTCAGTGTGTGTGTGTGTGTGCATGGTTCGCTGTGCCTGGTTCTCTGGAGCAGTATGCAGCTTAGGTGGAACATCTTCGAGGATCCTGCAACTCCGGTAGTGCTCTTCTACGCGCTCTGCCTGTGCAGAGGCAGCTGGACCCCACCGGCAGGGTGAGTCCGAGTAGAATATGAGCTATAGTCTAAACTCCTAGTATCCCCCTTAATAGCCCCTACAGTAGTCCCCTATATAATCCCCTATACAACCCCCTTTTAAGGAGTTTAGAAGCTCATATGAGTCGTGTTTGGTTTTGGGTCCTTTGAGTCTACAGATCGCAGATGACTAGTGTGCTGCTTCAGCGCTTTTACTGATTAGGCCAGGATGCTTCTGCCTGCGCAGCAGCAGAATTTCAGCAGTCATTCAGAGAACACCTTCCTAAATCCTTAACCCTAAATCCTAACCCCTAAATCCTAACCCCTAAAACCCTAAACCCTGACCAGGTTATGAGAATCTCACCAGTCTGGTCCCTTCAAAGCGTCTGGTCATCAGAATCCTTTTCAAAATGAGGGTGCTCCCAATAATGGGGGTCCACATCCATGCTATGCACCCCGAAATTCTCGGGTCCTCACAGTGGGGGTGGCGCCCCTAATTCTTGGAAACCCGCGTTTATCAACCTGTGAGGGAAGGCTTGCAATTTACAAGCCCAGGTACCAGTGCCATGACGGGCGTCTCTGCTGGGTATCTTAAGATCTGGGCTGGGATCCCAGAGTTTCCGTCGGGTTAAGATGTTTTCTACAGCCTTGCTGTTGAGTTTGGGTTTAGAGGGCTTCAGGCATTGCAAAGCTTAAGTTCAGCAAAAAGTAAGGTCCTCCTATGCTGCTTGTATATGGAGAAGCTAGGCACTCGTCCTTTCCTGTCCAGAGACACAGCAGTGACGCGCGAAAATCTTTGGAAAGCTTGCATGTCTCAGGGGCATGCAGGGTATGGCCATCCAAACATGCTATGCTGTGCACAATTCCGACTTGCTCAGGTGGTGCGCTACCGCACCTGGGCCGAATCGGGCTACCAGCAGGCAGGTCAAACCTGTGTTTCTGGAACAATCACTCCAAGATGTTGGCAGCAAGTCGTCGACGAAAAAGTGAACCTCACAGGTGGCGATAGCCAGTGATAGGGACGTTGCTGTTGGTGTTTGTTTGGATGGCTTGGTGCCCCTGCTATTGATCTCCAAAGGCAGAAGACTGTGCATCTTCTGGCATTAGCACGCAGTGAGCGTGCACCAATTCTGTTCGTTCAGGCCATCATCAAGAAGATGCAAGCTATGTCAGGAAGCACTGTGTGGGACCTGGCTGCTGCTCACAGGGACTATGGTTGTAAGCCAAACTGGCAGACGTGATGAGTGCCATCGCCTGCAAGACTGCCACATTTGCTCTCTTTCGCTTTCCACCCAGCGAGCAACTCAACATCCTTCCTTGCTTTTGTGCTCTCAACGACCAGTGGCGGAAGCATTGTGTCATTATCAGCTGGTTTGAAATTGTAGCGCGGAAAGGTCATCATCATTGGCATTGTTGCGTGGCACGCCTTGTTTGGCCACTGCTGACTAAGTATTTCTAAAATGAGTCTCCCTTATATCCTTGTTATGGGACCTGAGAATCCGACTCCTGTTTTTGGACAACCTGAGCCCTTAAGCCTAACCCTGAACCTTCATCCCTGAACCTCATAGCACCCTTCAAACGGAGCCCAACTTTCAGGACTCTGTTTCGCCCAGGTCGATGAGAAGCCTCCTCCGCCTCCGGCCGGCTCCGTTCATGATGGCTGGCCTGAGCCAAGGCCTCAGCTCACCTGAGTAGTATTCTGAATAATGGTTCTACAGAGCCATATGGGGGTTTCCCAAAATTAGGGGTACCATTTTGGCGGTCCCCATAATAAGGACTATAGTATTTTGGGGTCTATATTGGGGTCCCCCTATTTTGGGAAACTACCATATGTCTATACGGTGACTATGATCAGATTGTTTGGGTTCTCCTTGCAGAAGAAAATCCCCCTTGCCTCAAACTCCAGAAATAATTTCACCGGTGCTTGTAAAATTCCAGCGCATGATCATTTGGGTTCTCTGTCAGCACTGAATTTCTGCTCGGCCAAATTAAGTCCAACGCCTGGCCTGACCCTTGAGACAACTCTTTGGATATTCAAAGTTCTTGCAGCTGAGTGCAAGGGCTAGACTTCCCGTTGAAGTCGCTGTTATAATTTAATCAAAAGCTCAGGATTCAAGTTTCTCCAGCTGCCGAATGAAATTGCTAAGGCCAGCCCACTACGACAAGCACGGCATGGAGAGGCGCGGTTCATGCCTGCGCAGCTCTAGCGCAGAATGGGTGTAGATTGTTCATTGCAGGGAGGTGTGCAATGCTAGATCTGCAGGTATCGTGTCGCCTTCCTGGCCGAGAACCAGCTTTGGCTGCAGGCATACTTCTGAGCGTTGCAAGCCCCTATGTAAGCATGCCAGCAGGGTTGTCCACACCCGCGCAAGAGAAATTAGCCAGAAGAGGGCAGGTATTGCAGCATTGTGTGCAAAATGTATCCAGCAAAGGCAGCACATGCTCGAAAGACCCGTGTGCTTAATCGTGCGAGGTTGCTGTGTCGGAGATGATGGATAAAAAGACCTTGGAAAAGTTGCAACCTGAGCTTCTGGAGTGATGATGAACAGGATCTTCTGTTTTGCTTTTACCGCAGACTGCAAAGGGGACAGCGCACGAAGGAGTTTGCTTGACCCAGCAAAGCACCTTGACATTGTGATTGAACTTCTAGGCACCGTCAAGACCTCTTGGACGGCCTGGCCTCCATAGTCAACGAGGCCTGTATATGCTGAGATGCATGAGGGTTCATTTACACAAACGCTTCGTTCGCGGTTTGTCATGGCAGCAGTCAGCTCCGTTTCCTTGGCACGACTACCAAAGGATACAGGCAGATCCGTTCAGCTTCTAGAGGCATCCCGCTTCAGAGAGCCTTTCAACAAACATTCCTGGATCCTCTCTGCAATGCTTCCATGCCACAGGTTGCTCCAAAAGACTACGCGCCTGAGGGCACAGAGGCAGTTGAGAAGGCCTCGTGAGTGCAGAATTCGTGGTGTGCAGCTTTGGAAGGTTCGCTAAAACGGCTAAAAGTGCAGCCTAATTTAAGCCATGCGACTGGGGGTTCTTTAGCTGAGCCAGTATCTGTTGCTTTGGAATCACATTGTACCTCAAGCTTGATCTGATCTCTCCCGTCCACACTTTGCAATCTCCGTGATACATCACGGAACCGTCAACAACACCTAGCGATCACACAACTTTGCTATCCTGACCGATAGCACCTGTCGCGTAAATAGTAATGGCATGTGAGGAATGAGTGACAATCAGTCACCCGAACATGTATGAAAAGTACCCCCCCCCCCCGGTGCAATTTGCGCAACTCTCAATTCCATTCGGGTTCCCCTTTTTCGCCATCGAACGCATACGCGGAGATACTAAAGCAGGGGCCCAGCATATTGAACGCTGCGATTCAGCTACTTTGTTTGCTTTCTTTGCGCCTAGGAGGGAACATGCTGAAACTAGCCCTCTGTTTGCTTAGCGCCCACCGACTAGGGAACCTCAACCTGACATGCAAGCAGGGACCTAAACACATCCCCGTGTAGCCCTTCTTCTAATGCTTTGGGCGTCCATCCAGGAGATGTTCCAGTTTGGAGCTCCCCCGGCTATGGACCTGGCCAGAGCAGCTTCAGAGGCTTCAAACTTCAGACCATGTTGGGATTTGAGGGTTTCAGGCTTGGGGCTTGTCAGAACAGATCATGTAGGGTTGATGAACTTGATGGAAGAGATATAAGTCGTACTGCATCAGTGCTTTAGAGCAGCCAGTTTGCTGCAGAGTTGCGCAATCCTTCAGGCTGTTTGCCGTTCTGCTTGCTTTTATCGGTGCCTCTTGCCAGATCCAGCGGGAGACGTATGAGAACTCCGCACTCCGCCAGCTCATGAGGCAAGTCAGCATGTCAATCGCAGCATCTGCAGAAGCATCGTGAGATTCCAAACCTTCTGCTGCAGACACGGTTCCACAAGCCAGGATGTGGCGAGAACGCGCCCAATTTATGCTCTTTTTGCAGCAAGTATCGGCTATGGCGCAAGCCTGAGTTCAGTGTAGAATTGGATACGCTGACGAAGTGAGGTGCTAGCATCTGGAGACCTGACCTCTGTTTGGCGGGCGAGATCCCTGCTAAGTTGAGGATGCCAAAGAAAGTCCCGCATCATCATCACTACTGCATATTGTTTTCTGAGATCTACTCTCCAGGCTGTTTGAAGTCGTGCAGTCCAGGGTTCCAAGTCGGGGTCCAAGGTCAAGTTGGACAACTATCAGCGACGGACTGCCTGCGAGATTTGCGGGAAGGGCAAGGACCAACAACCACTCGTGGTGCTCCCCATTTACACCCTTCTGCTGCAGCCCAAGATTGCTGGACTCGGAAGTTAGGCTAGCGGTAAGTCAGCGGCCCATTACAGCTCAGGGCCTTTGCGGCGTGTGACACGTAGCAAAACTGTTCTCCATGCAGCCTTCAGATATTGAGTCTCCCTGTCTCGATGGGAGCAATTTTGTGAACTGCTAGCTTGCTTGACGGGCAGAAGTGATCAGAGCATGCAGATGCTTGCATTTGCGCCAACGACAACGCTGAGGCACCTGGCTTCCCTCTACCGAGAGCAGAGAGACATGCCGGATACCCGGTTTTGCCCAAGCTCCCTGAGAATCCCTGCGCTTAGTGCTGTGTCAAGTCTTCCTTGCCAAGGTCCCCACTGTGGAACACCCCTCTGTGGAAGCACTTCTACCAAACATTCACTCCTACCTGCACTCTCTGCGAGGACGCTTCTTGCAGATGCATTCCTGCGCGCCTTCCAGTTTTGATTCATTCTGGAAGGTACCCTATGTAGGGTGAACTAGGGCACCTTGATTTTGACAGCTTTGCAGCTCTGGGATCCAGGAGTGCGCCAAGTATTACCACAAGCGTAACACCAACATCCCGGTTAACGAGAAGCGCTACCAGCGCTTGCAGGCTCCGAACTGTTTCAATGGCTTTGAGAGTCGTGAGGCAGCAGGGGGCGGCTAATGGTATCTCGCACAGGAGCATTGATCCAAAGCGTCACCTGCGGTGTGCTTGCTTCGTTGGACAGACAATTGCCTTGCCAACTGAAAGGGGTGATCGTAGGAAGACTTCCACAGTTTCCAATCATCAGAAGGTATTTGGCGCCCAAGATGCTTTACTGCACCTGCGAGCCCTTCCTTGCATGCGAAGGCGAAACAGAAGAGCGCCTACGAGAAAGTCAGGCTGGGTGCCTATCGGTTGAGTCTGGGCCAGCCAACCTGGCTCATTCTTATTTTGCATATTATAGTACATTCTAGTATATTATTGTATACGGTAGTCAATTATAGCTGCAGACTTTAAGCTGTTCTTAACCTCGATCTTATCAGGGACCAAGATAGCTGGTCCCATTTCCACCTTTGAAAATGGTCGGTAAGTAGCTACGTCAGTGCTGCAACCATTTCCTACAAAGATGCATCTCCAAGGGTGAGCGATTACCCTGTGATCACCATGGAGCCAGAAATGAAGCAGGCTCGCCGGCTCGCAATGGCTCTAAGGGTTGCTGAAAGCAATGGAGTGTTAAAGGACTTTAGGAATATTCAGGAATATATTAGGACCATGGAAAAGAAAATGGAAATTACTTTTCTATAATAGGGTATATATGTACATGTATTGGGAATTTTTATGATGGCATACGGCCAACTCCTCCCGTGTTTGAGCGCGGTTGGCTAAGCAGGGTTTGATGAGAATCTCAGTTCACTTTCGGGGTTCTCCTATGCAAGCGAGCAGAAACCCCTCTTTACATGAAATCAGTCTTCTCCAGTGTGCACCCGCTGCTGCAGGTTCTGAACCTCTGGCTCGCGTGGACGAGATGCATCGTAAACGATGAGCGTCCACAAGACTTCCTGCCACGCTTCGGCATCGAAGGACATGACATGACACAAGAGCTTCTGGATGGGCGAGGCTAGTGTGGCTAAACACTTCGGGATGGCCTTCTGAGAGAATCATGCCGGAGACTTGATTGCTGAGCGGCACAGTGTGGACATCAATTCCATGAAGAGGCATGGTGGGTCCGATGACGCCTTGTCTTTTGCTACCTAATTAGGTCTGAAGTTCCCGCATCCATCCACGGCATGTTACATCCGGCATGCCCTGAGCATGCAAGCATCATCGTCACGGAGCGAAGGCAGTATCGAACATGTCGAGTAGAGATCTTAGATCATGCTTACTCCGTCAGACGTGACTTTCCTACTGCATTGTCCAGCCTCGGTCTTGATTTGCGCAGGACGCACTATGCAGGAGATCAGGAAGGAAATGCTTGACAAGGCTTGCCATGTTTTCGATAGGAATCCGCCAAGTGTTGGAGCAGTCACTTATGGTAGCAATTGTCACATGCTCGATCGACAAAGACTGATGTACACCAGTAAATGATAATTCAGTAATGGCTTCTCTTGACTGCAGTGGGTCGAACGACCCCGCATTCGCTGCTGCTCACCTTGATGGAGAGAACAGGAGGAGATAAGATAGCTAGACCAGAAGTTGCGCTAGCACGTGATATAATCTTTTGCTCTCTCGAGGGTGGAGGCGACGATGCGTCGCCCCCCCAGAGCTTCAGTCTTGCTTGGGCGGGGGGCACAACTTACAGTAAGGGCCAGAGATCTATTTTCTGGAGCGTTGTAGCGATTAGCAGCCGTGAACACGAGGGGCCAGGACTGCATTCTTAACACAGGGCATGGGAGTGGTGAAATAGATCTAGGGGAAAAGGGACACAGAAATGAAGCCAAGGTCACTGCCATCAGTCTCTGACAAGGAGGACGAGGCGTGAAACAGTGCCCTTTAATATGAACAAGCCAGCCGGAGGAGATCTCGCAGCAGTAAGGAGGTCTTGATTCAAAAGGGATTCGAGAGGTTGCTGACGAAGGGCGAGCTGTGTGAGTGAACCCTTCAGCGTTGCAGGCTGCAGCAGCTGACGATGACGGCACCAAGGCACCCATGCAGCATGCCAGCGCGATATGGGCCTCTCTCTGCCACATGGCCTCAAGCATGACGGCAGGATCCAAGGAAGATTGACTTGGAAGCGGATGACATCCCCCAGAAGCCGCCGCTCAAGGTGCAGACAATTTTCGGATTTCTTTAATTCTACAAATTCATGGATTGGTGTGGAGGACTCTAGCGATAAAGCCGCCTGAGAGCCCATCACTTCCCATAGTCTCAGAGGTCTTAGATAGAACATGTGGTTACGCCTGAGTCATACTACCAGGTCCCGAAGTCCCTCACTTGGTCGGACGAGTCGATCATGCGAGCTTGGCTTCACCGGGCCCGCGACAGCCTCCAGGCCCGTCTTTGCGGACCTTCTTTGCATGTTCCACGGGTCAAGGAAGGGTTTCTGCCACGACCACAGGAACACCCGTCATGACCGTAACAATCCCTAGGACTAGTAGTACCCACACCGACAGAAACGATCAAAGTTGCGAAAAAAACAACGAAGCTAACCAGACGGGTTTATTGGAAGTCTGATTCCAGCGAGAACGGAAAATCAACATAAATGATCATCAGTTTTATTTGTGCTGCTTTAGGAGCCATGGCTTGCGTTGAGGCACCCCAGACGACCAATTGGATGTATCCTGTGGAAGCTGGGTCTGCGGCCAAGATGGGAGAAGAGCGACCCTTGGGCAAGTCGGCACAAGCTGCCTCAGCACGTACTTGTCCCGTTCTTCGGTGGAGGAAAATGACAATACTGAAGTGGAAGAATAACTTCTTAATTAGGCAGGGGTCCCCAAGCTTATCTCAAGCAGCTGTATCTTGCTTGGATCGACCATGACTGTATTACTGGGTGTTGTTTGAGTTGTGCCTTTGTCCTGCCCTCACGCAAGGCCTTCCTCGTCATCCCAGACGGATGTCCAGGAGTCCAGGCCTGTCTGGAGAGCATAGTGCAAGATACTGGGCCAGAGGCTAGGTACACGCTTACAAAAGAACCGTGCCGGGCCGCCAAAACAAAAGTTGAAGGGCTACCATCAGTCATCAACAACCCACACGCTTAACCAAGCACTGCCCATTGAGCCCTCGACCTTCCGCCTCGGCGGAGGGGCATGGGCGGAGGCCTTCCTAGAGTGGTTTCGGGTATTATATTGGGGTTATAGTGGATGATGGAAAAGAAAATGGAAGCTACTATAGTATTAGGGTTATATTTGGGTTATATACTGATTATTATTTTCAGTTAGTTTCTGCTTGCAAGCACTCGCGAGGCCAGAGGCGACCAAAGCAGGAGTCCGATTTGCTGCGACCACCGACGATGACGAGGACTGCTTGGAAAGCGGATTCCCTGTAGTGTATTGGGGTAATATTGGGATNNACTATAGTATATTGGGGGGTTTATAGGGATAATGGAAAAGAAAATGGAAGCTGAAGGGCTTCTGGCATCAGAAGTTAGACAACCAACTCTTGCCCACTGTGGAAACCCTGAACTCTCCGACGCACCAGGTAAGCCACGACCCCGTAGACCAAACTGCAAAGCTCAGACCTGACAATGCTCAAAGTGGTATCCGTGAAGCACCTAAGTCTTACTGTATTGGGGTTAGCAATAGAATGTGGCGTACCCCTTAACATGACAGAACCACGAGGATCAGATCTTGGATTCGGGGCCGTGGGCCCCGCTACTTACATATTATGTGATGTAAGATCGTCCTTGCCAAGCTAACAAGCTAACTCCCAGTAAGGAACCCCTGTCGTTGAAAACGCGGACGATGCTCTTCCCATAGAACCATGTGCTGCGTCCTTGAACTAGCTTCAGGACTAGCCTCAGTGAGCAGGCACGGCCGCTCGTCATCTTCGTGCAAATCTTGCCTAAGCTGCAAGTGCACCTGAAAATGCAAACCCTTCGGGTGTCCCACACCTCAGCAGTCATCTTGCTAGAGTGCATATCAACATAGCGGTACGAACCCACCTGGCATGAGGGGCATCTCAAACATAGCGACCCTAGGGTTCACGTGCTGTGGCCACCAAAGCCACAGAATTGGCCTCAGAGCTTATAAGCCGTACCATGTCAAGAACGTACTGGGAAGGACGGAGTGCTAGCAACAAGCAAGTACAGGCAGGCTGTACGTAGACTCTGAGTGTGTGGGCATTGTTACTGAAGGATGTAACATGAGTTCTTCAAGCGAGAGAGGAAAGCCTTTCTTCTGGATGCGTATCGCCACGGAAATTTTCGTCGCAGCATCTTGCAAGAAGAGGCCTCCAAAACAAGCGGAACTCCACATACATCAGGAATCGGAGAGCGCCCAGTGGTAGAGGGACATTGGAATTCTTTGCACACGCCGTATGCCGTATGCGTTGGGTTTAGCTTGGACATGGCTCAAGGATGCTCAAGGACCCGACAATCGCGGCATGATGAGGCGAACGCCAAACTCTGAGCCTAACAGCGGTCATCTCGGGGCTGCGCGCTCTGAACACTGTGCCGAATGAAACGAATGACCCTTGAGTTGCACAGCCAACATGTCCCGTTTGGCTGCACACAAACGTCAACGTACATTTTCTTGACCCCCTCGTTCCATCATGGCTGAGCTTCGGGCTCCTGCGGCTTTCCGACCGGCATGGCCAGCCAAGGCCAGGTTGCTCTGAAATTGATTAAGGGGCTCTCGGGCCAAGCATCCTTGTTCATGGAGTAGGAGCGCAGAAGGGCGAAGAAGACCAGCTTTCCAGTGTGCAAAATCAAGTGTGGAAGCGAGCAAGAATAATCAGCGCTGATATTTCCTTTGCATTGTGGAAGGCCCCACTCACATCTGAGCAATGTGAGGCGACCAGGGTGGATGGCCTGCCCTTTGTGACCATGCCCTCTTCACAGGGAATTTCGCAACAGGCACAGGTCGGCTGGTTCGCAATCCCTGCAAACATGTTTTGTTGTGTGGTCCAAAATGTGGCATATGAGCCGTGAGTGGGCGCAAAAACACAGCACTAATCACCACTTTCTGCTTGAATGTGTTCAGAATTGGCAAGCCAGCGATGTGAACCAGTGACGCAAGGGGAGATATAGACATTCAGGCATTGTCACTTGAGCTCGTAGCTGAAATCTGATGAACTAGTCAAGCCCCAGGAGAGATGCTGCCGATTCCTGGCTGCTACTCTGGCGTTCGGAGCCTATCGCATGAAGGCGAGAAGGAAGAGACCTCCGAACTGCTATATTGGGCAGCGGATTGGACGCGGCCCATGCAAGAATCAATTCACAGGTATGCAAGCAAGGTGATTAGCTTGGATTATTCATGATTATTCGTAAAACATTTGACCGGCCCCACAGGAGTTTCTCCAAGTATCCAAGCATTTGGTGCTTCCACAGCTTTCCTCATGTTTGCTAGAAGGTTCTGACAGTGAAATCAACACTGGCAGCCTCCACATGCTGGCAAGCGTTGCTGCTGCAATGCAGGTACGCGTGCAGAGGGCTCGGGCCCGCCGGTTTTGCAATCCGGTCACAACCATGCGTGAGCAGGCGGCGAGATGCCCTTCATGCCCGGAACTAGCCTGCGGGGATCACAAGTGCTCAGGTGGTTCTTGTGGAAGGCGTTTGCGGTTCGGAATCCCGCATCATCCCACTACATCACAACAAGCTTTGCATTTTTGAGATGTTGGCCCTAGCCGAAAGGCCATTGATTGAGGTCACGGATGGGAGGGCTGTGCCGCCTGGGAGTCTTATACTTTGATTCTCCTTTAGCAGACCGACACGCAGCATGGTGCCACGCATACGGAGGCAGAGCAAATTGTCAGTGACCGCAAAGCTCTTCGAATGGGAAATGGCGATTTGAATTCTCTCATCTCCGAGGAGTGCCTGGGGTTCAAGCATGTGTCACCTCGAATCAACGATGGTGGGCTCAGACATGGGGAGTGAAGTGCAGCTACTGACAGAGCACGGCCACTTTAGATGCTTGTGATTTGCCATGCTGCCATCCTGCCATGCTGGTGCTTGCAACTGCGATAGATGGATGCCTTTGAGGAGGAGCGTGAGAAGATGACTGAAAAGGCAGACACGCTGGAGCCTTATAGGCTGGGAGAGGGCTACCGGACTTCGTGGACTAGTGCACGCTGCTTCGTGTACCATAGGGGTTGGAGCATTTTTTCTGCCAATCAAAAAAGAGAGACGCAGCCAGCCTCTATGCTTGTGTGCCACACCCTGTGCCTGTGCACAATGCTTTTTAGCAAAGTTGGCACGTTGTAGCAGCTCCTCTGTGGAGTTGCGTAGGCAGTATGTCTACTTCGCCGCCTTTGGTCTTATTCTGGGCGCTGGGAACGATTTGCCTGCCTCTCAGTACTCCACTTTCATATGCCAAGACAAGTTCTCTCCTTGCCCCATCCTTTTTGGTACCCAGGTTTTGGCTGGTCTTCCAGCCTTCCTTCTTCAGCAAGGGCTTTCTGCCCTCGGGGAGCACGGATGAATCGCAAATCTCGCGGCTGCTCCTGATCCTAGGGTTGGCCGCCGTTGGGGGAGGCGGGAAGCATTTCTGATGTTGGCCGTGCGTAACTAACACACACACACACACACTTGTGCAATCCTCCCTCTGGACTGATTGGGAATTCTCAGTATTCAATCTTCGCAAACGCAGAGGAGTAGGATCTTCAGAGGATTTGGGCTCTGCCCATGGCTTGCCTCTTGCCATGTTTGTAAATTGTCTGTCACTTGCACATCCAACATGTTCGCACTGTCACAGCACTGCAAAAAGGACATGACTGTACAT